GTCCGAAGCGTCACAGACGACGCTGAAAGGACGATCGGGATCTGGCAGTGCCAGTATTAGTGTATGCAGGAGGCAGTCTTTGACCCGTCAAAAGCCTCCTGGTGTTCGGTGTTCCAACACCAATCCGCATTCTTTTAAAGGGGATTGGATAATGGCCGCGCCATTTTTGCGTAATTTACGCTGTACTTGTGCAAGTAGTTGGCGAGGCCAAGCCACTTACGCAAATCCTTCTGGATCTTTAAAACCGGCCAATCTACAATGACCTTGATCTTAGCGGGATCTGCTCGAAGGCCACGCTTCCCAATAAAGCACCCTAAAACGGTGCTTTATTTATTCTCCTGCGTCAAAGATGCACTTGTCTGCATTGACGTACAGTTCGTAAGTGCACATCACTCGAGCCCCGCTCTCAATGGACGATATGGTTCTCATCATCCGTCTCCCGTACTCCGCACGACTGTGAACGAAAGCGCTGTCAAATTATGTCCGTGCATACGCCCTGTGAGGCCTGAACAACTGCGTCAAAAGACGATTAAATGTTGCTGGTGCATTTGACAGCCCTTCGGGCATCACCAGCCACTTCCAGCATACCGCTCGGAGTGATTACCGCTGTCAGCGGAATGTCGCTCGCTCTCATGAGCAATTGGTAGTATCCATCTACCAAATCGAGTGCACTGTACTCCGTACAACCCACCATATTGTTCTCAAAAACATCCTTTCTAGGAATTGGCGTTTGGGCCGGAATGGTGGAGCGTTGAGCTGATTGTAAGCATGAACGATACGCCACTTGCCACTCGGCTTTCAATCACAAAACGTGGGTGTCGAATGGCGTCAAAGATGTCGCGCTGCTCCTCGGGCAAGGGCCATTGGCGTGTTACGCAGTATTTGATTCCCGGAACCAGGTCAATCTCATGACACACACCTCGGTCCGGAGGTAGCACCGAAGCCGGGTCTTTGAAGACGACATCTTGATTTCTTTTACCAAAGGATAGTACGGATCCAAGGGATTCCGTAGGATCGACGATCCACTCCGTGCGTTCAGCACTCTCTTGGTGTCTTCTAAGACAGCTTCATCAAGAAGCGATGACGAGTTTATCTCA